GAAATCTGTTTTTTTCCTATTTCCGTTGTTGTTTTTCCTATTTCTGTTGTGTTTTGTGTGCTTTTGCAGCATTTTTCTAATTGCTGGCATTTTCTTAAGTTGCAGTCCGTTCGGCCTCTCAGGGCCACCGTACATTCCAGTTGTTTCCTCCAGGTATTTGCTGACATTTTAAAGTCTTGATATTGATGCTTTGATTATTATTCCTCATACTGAGACAATGGTTGTTATTCTTGTACTTGTAGGGTTTCAGAGGGGTTTGCTACATATGGCTTAAATTTCCAGCTGAAGCACATGTCCCCAGTAAGTCATAGATGATAGGGTTTAAATGTCAAATATTCCAGGGGCGAAGGCAACTGCCCTTCGAGTACAGGGACCATGATCAGGAACAAGAGGCTGTTAAAGCCAAAAGATTTAAAGAACAGTGAGTTGTTCCCAATATTTATCATCAATGTCCAAACTGGTTGACTTGCTATGTTAGCACCAAATGACACGCGCAGATGGTATTAAATATGGGAACCTAAACAAGACTCTGTATTAAATAACTGTGATAACACTGGAAGTAGTATTTGGACCTTTTATTTAAATGGTGAAATCTTGAAAACATTGTTGAAGTACCTAAAGTAAAAGTATTAAAACAATTTAAATGGTACATTTTTAAGTCACTTTAATGCTAAACCTGGAACCAATTTTCTAACTTAAAGTTGGACAGCTTATATTAATATAGTATAAAAAATCAGAGGATGCACATTTTGATCTTAGTGGATATTTTGTTATCGTGCAAACTGATATGTAAATAAGGCCTTTAAAATAAATGCTGGGGAACACAGAAATGGAAACTGACAGAACTACACCTCTATGGCCGCCCCGTTAAATACACCCCTGAGTATGAGTGAACATATTGAGTTTTGAAAGTTTTTTTCAAAGTCCTGATTTCTCCTTACAGCTACACTGTACATACAGTATGTACAGAAGACTCTTTCCAGTGTTGTAATATTTTAGAGGAAAATAGATTTATTTCAGGCAATGCCTTGGCTACCATATGCTCCTCTCTCTTTAAACAGATTCACAGAACAGCCGGTGGCTGGAAAACAGGAATTTGAGTCCACACAGTTGCGACCTGTCTTAGTTTCATCCAAACTGACAAATCACATCCCTAAGACTTGAATATCCCTATGTTCCTCCTTATAAGTTCTAAGGTTCCTAATTTGTTTCTTTTGGCCCAGTAATTTAACAAATGCTGCAAATGAACTGTAACAAATTCTCCAGCTGTTCCAGTAAAACCATATTTATATGAAAAGCTGTGAACAGGCATTATTAATAAAACACAAGCTCTGCTATCTAAATGAGCAAGATTAATACTTTAAGTTCTAATTTTTGGGTTTGTGCCAGGAAGCCTCCTTGATCAAAATACCCAGTTTCATCAGACCCTTTTGTTGTTAACCCAAGCCCCAATATAAATACTAATAAACATTATTAAATTAGATCTGCATTATTTTGTTATTGCTGAAAACCTACATGTGTCTAAAGGATACATCTTTGAATGTCTTCAGTTTCTTTTGTCTCAAATGAGCTTGAATCCAGCCACATTTCTTATAGTTTATTCTAAATAAGCCCCTGCAATATTAATATATAAATATAAAGCCAGTATAATGATGAAAGCTCAGGTGTTACTGAAGCAATACCATTAACTGTGTTATATCCATGTGTCCCAGCGAGCTGTGACACTGACCCAGCAGCCTGAACCTGAAGGCAGCTATCATTCATTTTATTATGTACGCCTGTGCTTTCTCAGGACAACAAGCAACCTCACAGCTGCTAAAATGAACAAGCAGGTCAATATGTATTTGTGAAATCTACTCTTTCCATTTTCACATTGATTGGTGCAACGGGGCAGCTGTGCAGGAAGCCAATCACACAGGTGAACAAACACAAAGAAATAAACCACACAGGGCGCGTGCCGGCGTCATTCACTTTATTAGAATAGCAAAACTTCAGCTGATCAATGTCCTAAATTCAAAATGTTACCTCAGTGTGTAAAAACCAAACAGCGAATAGCCTTAAGAGCTGGAAGCAAATGGTCCAAAGGGGAGTCCCTCGCCACAGATTCCCGTGTTAAAAAGCCCAGCTTTAAAGCAAAAAATAAACATATTCATAACCTTGTACAAAAAGCATTTTTGATCTCTGTTGCTGATTTCCCCCTTTGCGACAGGTATACAGAGGGACTTTGTTTAAAAAATTATTATTATCATCTGTTAAGATTCTTTTAAGGCTTCATTTTCTTGCCTTACTTGCATTTATCATGAGTTACTTCTTGTTTATGAGACTTTCTGCATTCAGTTTTGTATTTAATAAAAGCATGCTTCACTGGGTTATGATAGGATGACAAACCCTGGCCATTAATGAATAACTCATTAATTTTAAATGTTCAGATATTTTTCTTCTAGAGCTGTGCAGACCTGTTTACACGTTTTTTCTGGCAATGTTTCTGTTCTTAAATATAACCAGTGTAAAATACCAACACTTGGAATGAACTCCAAGTGTTGGTATTTTTTCAGCATGTGTGCCAAATTTGTCATGGAATAATAAAGGATCAGGCCTCACCTGACCTGAAACTGCTGAAACTGTTAGTCATTTGCTCAGTTACTTTTTATGTGTCAAACCCCTTTAATTAAAGCTGAAGGCCTGTACTTCAGACATATGTTTGATTTAAATTCCACAGTGATGGTGTAAACAGGCAAAACTATAAAAATTGTGTCTTTGTTTAAAGTATGGACCTCACTGCCTAAGTGACAGGTAGGTGTTGACACAACCCTGGCTCAAAGGGTAGCGCAACAATTTCAGAAATAAATAAATATGCATTGTGTTGCTGTATGAACATGTGCTGTGTCAGTGAACAAAAAATAAAGCAGCTGATGTTCAATAGATCAAGTAACCTGGAGGAGAGAGAAAAAGACTGAGTACCTCAGCACCTACAGTACAAGCAAGCAAACACACCAGCCCAGGTGTCAGCCATCACTCCCAGTGAGCCACTCATCATGTCCCAACAACCAGGTACTGAAGCCTGGGGGCCGTCACATTTCTAACATGGGTGGATCTAGCCAGTAGTTGTTTGCTAGGTGTCAACTAAACTAATTTGTCTCAAGAAATAGCAAACATTTGTGGTGCTGGTGCCCTGTGCTTTACAGTGGAACTAACAGACTGCTTCAGAAGTCCAAAGTCTGTGTTACAATTCTGAGGGAAATCTTTAGCATGTTAATTAGCATTAATAACCAGGTACCTGTGTCTGTGTGATGCTTAAGTATCAGCATTCCACCTGCTCACCTGAATGTGGCCACACCAAGCTCCAAAAAATGTCCATGTCCATCTTTTATATCATACATATTATATTCTGGGGTTGTGTTTTTGCTAAAAACAAGCTAATTTTTACGAAACTAAATCCAAACTAATACATTTCACAATCACGTGACGAAACGCATCACAGGTATAAAGTTGTGTACTTATCTGCTCACACAAAAATGACCATGTAACTAAAGATGAATTAATATAGAAACATTCATAATAGCAGTATGAAGAACAGTTGCAGGCATATTAGCAGCAAAACAGAGAAGAATGGCCGCTAAAAGGCCCTCTTTGTGTAGATTGTTGGAGTTCTGTTATTGATATAATCAACATGACTAAATACTGGGTGGTTTAAATCATGATCCACATTTTCAAATTATGAAACTGATCATATATTTTGTATGCGACTTTAGTATTCAACTTAACTAATAAACAGGCTTATCAGCTAAACAAAGACGAGAAGAAGCATAAAGCAGTATGCAGTGGAAATAATCAAGTACATCAAAACCATAATTAACTACAGCACTTCAGTTACTAAGTATATTATCACTTATATCACACGCACATCCTCTTGAATCAGTCACAGCTTTGAAATCTTTCATATTTTTCTTAAGCACAGCACGTCGAAAATGCATATGTATTACTACTATGTTATTACTGCATCATTCTTACTATTATTACTTCACACATTCCCAAATTCAGTACGGAAAAACCGTCTGTATCTCATTGGTAAAAATGAAAATAAATATGATGGGTAAAAATAAACTGGCAGAAACCCTGTCAGTTACAGTTATGGATTATGATTAATTACACTGGAACCCCTGCTGAGACGTCACTCAGACAGACGGAAACGTAGTTCTTAACTCTGAGAGCTGGATGAGCCTCACTGCATACAAGAGAAGAAAATACATTTCAACTCAGCAGTCGGCCCGGGCTTGTAGCTCTTCCACCGGCCAAGTAAAGTAAGCTGCTGCAACTGGTTTCACTAGTGCAGAAAAGTTCAGATGGAAAATCCGCAAAGTATCCTTTTAATATAACAAATGCGTAGTCTTAGAATTGTGAGGTCCTGTCATTTTTCATCTATTACGCGCTGACGTGACAGGCATCGGCCCGGGCCAATACGTCATCATAAAAGCCATTGAATGAAAGGCTGATAGCACAGCAGCACACAAGGGGAACTTCTTCATCTGCTAATAAAGTGCACATTCACTGGTCATGGAATCTGGTGAGTGCGTGTGTGTGTATGGAAGGTGAGTTATAGTAATGGTCCTCGAATGGCAAGGGAGTCTTAAATGGTGCTCTTTCAGAAGATAAACTGGCATCTGCAGGAGTTTAACTCTCTCTCCCTCTCTCTCTCCTATACACGCATACATCTATACACACCTGCCTCTGTGTGTGCACGCTTGAGACTTGTGAGATATGATATTAGACAGTATATAATACTGCCATAAAGAGCTCTGAGGCAACGCACATGTTATAACACGGTCCTCTCAAGAAGCAGACCTGTCACATTTTCCCGAAATGCCAGTGTGCTAAATGTTAACCATAGTCCCCAGACAATGAGGTCCTCAAGGGCGTTTTCCACCTCCAAAACGGGGCATAAGGACACGGAGAAAAGTAAGTGTCAGAATGTGCTAAGCTGGGACCGCTCTGTTTCTCCCCGTGGGCTCATACTGGTCTTCTTTTGCTGTGTATAAACAAGCAACATCATCATCTACAGTTTGCGATTTATAGCCGGGGGACCGCAAAGTTTTTTCACACTTTGAGGAAGGAATTAGGACATCTTTTGCGCGTGAGAGAACGCGCGCGCACGCGAGGGAGGGAGAGAGAGAGCATTTGAAAACGTCGTAAGTGAAGGGAAGTCAGGGTGCAGCAGCAGCACGGTTTCTGCCATGGAGTGAAAGGAGGAAACCTCCTCTTCGGCGTCGCCTGCATGCAAATGCACCCGACCGGGGTAGAATAAGGCTGGTTCACCACGCTCAGGTACCGCACCATTGACTTGGCGTGGAGCGGTGCTTATCCTCGAACTTAAAGCAGCAAGACACGGTCGCTCAGAATCTTCCAGATCGCATCCAAAGGCTCATACAGGTGACAAGTGTGCCCAACTTCACCGCACCGGCCGTGCTGACGCGCACAGTGCGTTTGTCCAGAGGTTGCTCGCTGCGTGAGACCCCGCCGCTCCTCTTCTGACATTTCGCAGCGCTGCCGTGCACATGCAGACTGTGCGTGTGTGGCAGCGTGACGCATTTGCGCCTTTAGATTTGATTTATTTATTTTTAAGAGTCTGGAGTGTCGCGTTTTCGGACAAGTTTGGGTACCGATCGGAATGATCGTCATGTCCGCATGGGATAACTTGCGCGTCTCTCTGTAGAGTGACACAGAGCTCGGCTAGGTGCTGAAGTTGGTTGGGAATAATAATAACAGTACGTAGCGCAGAGGACGAAAGAGGACGAAACGGCTGAATTTATTGCCAGCATCGTCATCTCCGTGTAAGGAATCGAAACTGCGCGGGGGGGACTGCTGCTCTTTCCTCCTCTTCATCTGCACACTTCCAGCCTTTTCTTTTCTTTCCCCCCTCTTTTCTCTTGCAGAAGCATCAAAGTGAATTCCAGCTCCTGAAAGCACAGCTGCGTAAACTTGGCCAGATCTGGTGACATTGTAGCCTGTGTGTGTCTGTGTGGGTTTGTGTGTGTGTGATAAGCAGCCTGGATGGATATGCGGCTCACCGAGGGAATTTGAAAAGCAAAGGGGGATTACTATCGGTCCCTCTTGTGTTATAACCTCAAAATGGATGCCCACGTCAGGCTTTGGAGATGCAACTGGATTAGCCACTCTTCCGCTGATCTGCTTGACATCTGAGTGGCACAAGTGTTCAAAGTTTGGATAATCTCAAAGGCTGACGGTGTAGAATGCAGTCTGGAGTGAAGACGCTCTCCGCAGGTGGAGGTGCGTCACTCTGCTGCCTACTGCTCCTCTGGCTCATCTACTCCCATCTGCTCAGAGAGGGTAAGGGCACTTACAGCTATTTATTACTTTGCCAACAGCAGCAAGGTCTCTGAGGGCTTTTTATTGGGATGCAGCTGCACATGGTGTGGTCAGATCCTGTCATTCTGGGGGAAAATTCCTATTACGCCCAATTAAACAGCCTCTGTGCTCATCAGAAGTCAAATTACGGTGACCTTGTTGAACCTCTTTGCAGCCTGATTTGGCATCTCAGTAATAATATTCCCAGTCAGTGTATAGTGATGTTATTTTGCACAGTTTCGTCATGTCTGATAGCACTATTATGTACCTAGGAGCTTTAGACCACCATTTCCAAAACACTTTTTAAGAATCTGAAATGCATTAAGAATAGTTATAACCTTCAACCCAAACAACCCTGATTTTTTTCTGTTTTGATGCTGGACCAAAAATCAGGCTCTTTGCTGTCATGTGGGATAGTAATTTGGCGAATCTATAACTGAGCCTTAGGTGAAAAAACATCAGAAAGCCTTCAGCTATTGTTTTTCCACTTAGGTTAAGGCCTTTATATCCTTCCAAGCCATGTTTTCATCTTGAATAATGCATCCACTGGTGCAATTACACCTTCACCCTGACACAGAATAGAAAGCAAAAGGATGTTTCCCTGCACTTCATTGGCTGCTGTCCACAACACAACATTTCCGCCGCTGTCAGAGACAGAGAACAGGCTTAAAGTACTGGAACTTGTTGGGAGATGCTGAACACTAAGTTTGCAGATTAGATCTTTTAATCAAGCATTGGCCGGCAGCATAATTACCACTGTGGAGGAGGGATAGTGCCTACATCAATGTCTTTGGCAGCTTGCCGGGAACAAAAGTAGACACTGATGTGAAAAATGAACTGCCTGCGCGTTGAAATGTGCTCCCTTTGCCTCTAATTTGCAGTGTTTTCTCCCAAAAACGCTGCTGTCACCAGCCTCTAATTCCCACCCCTCTCAAGCCTGTGCATATTATCCAAGGAGCCACAGCTACCCTCCTGTTCCCCACAGCCATTTATTATTGACTCGTTTTCATCTGAAAGTGATCTCATTAGCACATGATTGTACAAATTACTCGATCAATCTCTTGTGAACTTTGTTGCCCTTCATATATTCCCAGGGTAAGTGAGATCTCCCGTGCATGGCCTGGTAGTTAAAACCTCTGGATATGATTTTTGGGGTAGACAGTCTCCCTGTTTGTTGCTGACTGGTTTTTGAATAAAATGTGTCATATATATATGTATATATGTATATATGTATGTATATATGTATATATGTATATATGTAT